CAATGTGTGAAGCTCATTTCTGGTGTCCCCGCCGTGATATTGCTGGAATATTTCTAAAAGCGGCGTAAAACCAAACTCACTCACTCACTCATATTTCTGTCATCATGATAGTGTTTGTAGCACTGTAAGCATGATATGCTGTCAGTTCATTGATACAATAGAAGGGACAAGGGAGACCCACTAATCTAAGGCATCACATTTTTCTGTGCTGGGCTAAATTGGTCAGGCACACTAGAAACCTATGACCATAAGTTCGAATCCCAGGTCACCCTCATGTTTCTAGGGGGGCGGTGGGGTAGCCTAGTAGTTAAAGCGTTTGCTCGTCACGTCGAAGACCCAGGTTCGATTCCTCACATGGGTACAATGTGTGAAGCCCATTTCTAGTGTCCCCGCCATGATATTACTGGATATTGCTAAAAGTGGGGGTGAAACCGTACGCTCTTACCGCGGTATGGTACGTATTGCAGTACAAGGCTTTCGGTTCGGTATGTGAGAACTTACTTCCGAGACAATAGCGGCTGTCTGGGAAAGAAATGCATGGATTTTGACAAAATGATTCCATTTCTAGACATTTTAGAAATGGTTTTAAAAGGTTAATAAATGACGGTAGGAAAACAGAAAATATCTAATTTTTGGATTGCTTTACGGTATACCAAACCGAAGGCAAAATACCGCGGTTCTACTAATACCGCGGTATACCGTTTCACCCCTAGCTAAAAACAGTGTAAAACTCAACTCACTCACAATGTTTCTAGGTTTTCTGCACCATCAGCACCATACAGGGCTCGATTTAAGAGATGTTAACCTACTTGCACCAGGTGCACCCTAAGATAAAAACCTAGTTGCACCAGCCAAATTCCAGTTGCACTGCTTTTATTGCAACATGTAATGAAAGAAATAAGCTATTGAATCATTTAGATGTTTTATTACGAAGTTTACCCACTTGTCATTACTCAGATTCATCACTGCTCCATGCCTGCTCTGTCTGTGTTCTCTTTCCAGCTGCAGCAATCCTCCTGTTCTTCTTCGTGAGCCATAGTGCAATGGCAGCATCTGGGTTGTAATCATGTGTGGCTGGACCATTCACTGATACAGAAAGCAGATCTGTCAGAGTCTCACTCTTCAATGAACCTCTCCAGTCAGATTTCACTCTCTTCATGAGGGAAACCCCTCTTTCACATATTGCCGAGTTCACTGGCAGTGAAAGGATTATTCGAACCAGGGCTAAGATGTCCTTGTTTTCACCTTTCAGTTGTCGAAACCCTTTCCCATACCTGTACAAGATTTTCTTCAAATCTGAGCATCCTCACAATCTGTTTCTTCACAGTAAGCCATTCCACTACTGCTGCTTCGGGAACATACCCTTTAGCAGTCAAGGGCATGTCAAAGTGCTGAGCCAACAGCTGGATCTCTGTGTCCCCATAAGAGTTCAGTGCAGCTGGATCCTTGGGCCAGTTGTTGGGGTTGAGCACGTAGGATGCTCCACACACATCATCTGTGACATCATATCTTGATGCCAAATTTGACTTCATTTTCTGTATGATCATTTCTGCCGATTCAATCGCATTTTCTTTTTCAGATTTTTTCACAGGTTGCTTTCCTCTTTTCTTTGGTAGTCCCCTCTCAGGTACACTAAGTGTCATCCCATGAAACCTGTACTCTGGGTTGTCACCTTCAGCCACTTCAATTCCTTTCATCATGACTTCAGAAAGTCTCTCTCTGTCTGTCAGCTTTTCAATATGTCCAACTGCCTTTTCTACATTCTCATGTACAGAGTGCAAGCCAGATTTGTCACATTGAAAAGATTTGCTCAGTTTTGACATCACTCCCAGAAGACTTGTGAGAAAATTAAGAATCATGACAAACTTCAGAGACTGGAGCAAAAGAAGTATGCATCTTGATTTTTCTCGATTGTCTTTATTGCCAGTTCTTGCTTCATTCTGAAGATGAACAGCCAGTGCTTCATACGACTGAGAGACAGCTTTCACAGCATGCTCGTGATGAGGGAGTCACCTCACACCAAGTATTCTAACTGGCCTGAGAAGGTTTACATTCAGTGCCTCAGCAGCTGCTTTTAGTCCTTGCCACCTCAGTGGCGAATACTTGTAGAACTTGTACAAGTTCACAAGAGTTTCGTCAAAGTCTTCCAAATAGGATATTTGCTTTGTGACATTTTTAACTGCAAGTTCCAGTCGGTGGACACAGCAGTGGATTGCAACTACATGAGGGGCTAATGTTTGTATTCTCTTTGCCACACCTGACTTACACCCCATCATCACAGCTGCTCCATCAAAACACAAACCAACTAGACCACTTTTCCATTCATCCTCTGATAAATCAAGTTTCTCATCTAACATTTTCAAGATTGCCTCCTTGATGTGAAGAGCATCACCTCTTTCCACATTTGATGCACACACAAACACAGTTTTGGGTTGTCCAAATTTAATGTATCTCACATACATGATTTCTTGTTCCAAAACACTGCAGTCTGCATAATACTGAAAAAAATTCAGCTGTCCGAATTTCCTGACTAAAAGATTCACTGAGTAGGCCAATAAATTCTCTTGCTTTCTTATCATTTGGTATGTCTGGCCTGATTTAATTCCAAGTATTTCTAAAAGTTCAAGCATTTTGGAGAAATCTGTAAATGGTTTTTCATTTTTTGCTATCCAGTATGCTACTATGAATAAAATCTTCATGGTGTCAACTTGATTTTCCTGCATTTTAAGAACTGTCTTTTCCAAAGGCAAAACTGATTTATTTTTGCACACTTGTGCTAGTTCATGGGCCTCAGATCGGAGGTGAACCTCACTAGTTTGGTGGATTTCTATCACACTTAGTCTTATTGACTTGCACCCACTCCTAAAAGAATTACTTCTTCCACTTTTATCATACTTTTGACATGTGGCACAAGACATGTTATTTTCATTCTCATCATAATGTAACCAGTCCCTGTTTTTTTCCATTCCTCTTTAAATTTGTAAGTCTTAATTTTTGTTGCATTGCTTGTGGTTGGACTTACGTTTCAATTCATCATCTGTAGTTTTAACACCCGACCCTGAACTGCCACACGCATAGGCAATGTTAATGGAATCACTCATGTTAGTATCGGCACGTTTCTCAGTTTCCAAGTTTTGTTTACCGGTACGACTTTTGTCAGCATCTTTACTTGATTTCTTCAGGAAAAATGCGTTAATGCTTGTCTGTTTACTTTTGCTATCCGTCATGGTTATATTCATTCACGGTTTGGATAAGTAAAGTTGACAGGAGGCTTAGTGTTTCACACAGCCATGTGCGATAAATCTGTTAACTATCACTTAAAATGATGACGTAGTGTGTTAATACGTCAGAGGTATCAGTGCACATAAACATATTTCTGTGACGAAGTACCCTTGAAACCATAGCAACACCGCTACACAGCTGATCCCTGTTTACAAGAGCTGTCACAGCCGAGAGGAGTCTATAAATAGCAATGTTTCGGTGCCATAGCTATTCAAAGTTTAGATGAAAAATGAGCTGACATAATTGTGCTCACAATGTTTGATTTATTGTTGATTTATTTCTCTAAAACTGACCTGCACCTGGTGCAAGTTAGACTAATAACTAGGTTGCATTTTGTAATACTGGGATGCACCAGTGCAAGTTGCAAAGAACTAAATCGAGCCCTGCCATACCTCATTCTCTTCCCACAAAGGTTACTTGTCATATCTTCCTACGAACCTCTGTTCTAATACGGCTATATTTCCCGGCTCTCGTAAAATCCCCTAGCGGCAAAAGATCGCAACACGAATTATCTCCCTTCTTTCTATCCAATCAGAACACGTGTTACATCGACTTAGATTCAACTTGACTAACACAAGCAAATGTGGGGCCACAAATATCCCCCATCTGCCGGGGACTTGTGTTGATGTTACACACAAGACGTTTAATGGCTAGCTTGTCCGTTGTCAACGAGGGCGATGGAGATGCCACTGATGCGCCATAACATGACTGAGTTCTGTCTAGAAGAAACTTTTGCGCATCGCGCAGGGGAAGAAGTTTAGCTTTCTCGAAGCATACGGAAATTACCGAGGCCTTGCGAATGATCACTTTTGAAACAACGTCGCTGATTGCACAACTAAATCTGATTGCCTCCAATCACGAGTCTTGAACGCTCACACCATGAAAGGGCACGATTAGAACAGAGGTTACGTAGGAAGATATGACAGGAGTTACCTGTGCTCATGGGTTTCATTGCAGTAGTACTAAACGTTTGACACCTGCATCACGTTATGCTCTTCTCCCAAGTCAGGCTGACATATTGTTTAACTGGAATACTGTTCAGATCAGCGTAACTTAAACCCAACAGTCAGTCACTAGTAGGGGTGACTATTGGGGGGGAAACAACTATTGCGATAGCGATAGTCTATTGAAACATACTATTGCGATAGCGATAGTCTATTGTGACTCAACTATTGCGACCAGCTATTGCAATAGTTTTTTCTTTCCTTGTATTGTCTCATTTGAAGTCATTTCCTGAATGAATGTATAGTTAATATGAAATATGAAATAAAAACAAGCTGAAGTAGTTTCAGTCTCTATTAAATAACTGACAAGAAACTTGCTACCCAGATCAAGTTTATTTAAGAGGTAACAGGGCGGAAAACAATAAATCAAAGTGAACAAATCTGGTACATCCTGTATTTTGCGCTGAACATCTATCAACGGAAGTCAGTTATTAAACAATCAATAGTCCCACATACTATCGATGCATCAATAGCTTTTTGTTTCTACTCATCGATTAATTGCTATCGGAGACTCAACAATTGCAATCCATCGATAGTTCGATGCATCGTTACAGCCCTAGTTACAAGGTATAAAATATAATTTTGAATGGAACATATATCAATGGATAATGGTCATTCTTGAACATTTTTAGCTACTAAATGGAAATATCATAAAATTTGTTTATTATTTTCATAAATTTGTAAAACTATAAAGCTACATTTGATATTTTTCAGGAGATGGACGATCTGCAGAAGAAATTCCCTGACTGTGTTAGACAAGTGACAGTTAATGAACAGAACATTAATGAGTGGTTTGCCCTGTTGTGTCCGGTAAGAATCACTGTAGTATCCGACCATCTTCATATTGGTCGTTCCATTTACAGGAGATTGCAGATTTCCAGAGAAGAAATTACTGTTGTTTTTAATGAGCAGAGTGTTAATGAATGGTGTGGCTTGTTGGTCCAGGTGAGAATGTGTACCACTGCATGTGGGCTGTGTTGAGTGTCAGTGGTTTTGGTTCCAGTTCTACATGATACCCTGTTATGTATTTTGGTCAGTAGTTTTCGCTTTTTGCATGTTTGTTGTTTAACGCCCAACATTAGCAACATTACAGCACTTTGACATTTTTAGGGCTCCTTGCCTCTAGGCAGGAGACCTATTGTAATCGTTCGGATTATTATTATTTTTTATTATTCCACTGATTTTTGTACCAAACATACCTCCTAAACCAATACTCCGAATCGCTTACAAAAAATCACGAAGATGCCCACCGAGGTGAAGATATTCCCCTTAAAAATCTCTAGGCTCAATAGCAAAGGGGAGATAATTCAAAATTTCAAAGTTTGACAGCAAATATCTCAAGAACTAATTAATTCAACACTTCCAAATCTCTTGTACAGATGCACAATCAAATTCCCAACAATTTTGCCTGGACGGGTCAAGTCGCTAAAATGTACCGTTTGGCAGTTATTTTTGTTTTCAGTTTTTGGTTATGTTTTTCAGCAGTTTTCTGAGTAGTTTGCTCCCAAAATGTGCTGAGCTCAAACCATCAGCTCTAGACATTCCAAACTTCCCATAACTGATGTCCAGTAACCATTGTGCAAATTCTGCACAAATAGTGCCAGTATGGTAGATGAAGTCTTGGTGATTCCAGAACACTAATTGTTTTGACCGTAGACCCAAGAACAACTGAGACACAGCCTTTTAAAGAGGGAACTATTTCTTCTCCAGAACTTCTTAAAAGTTCCCCCGGCTGTATTTGGAAGATCCGCACGCCTGTCAAAAACGTGTTCTGGCTCCGTTTTGGACGATGATTTCTTGCCCTCAAATACAATGGATAGACAGTGTTCACGAATGGTGTTTCAAAGTAACAAGACATTGGGTCCAGTAAGTTTCAGATGTCTGTCTGACCCACTGAAAATTCACAGGACCCATAGAATAAAACTAAATAAACATTTCAGATTTAACATTTCTCATAATTGGCATTGAAATTATTAACAAACATAAGATTTATAAACAGCAAACAAGTGTCATATGTCACATATAACATCTTCAGTCAAAGTCACTGTGAAATATACAGCCAGACACTGGGGCCGGTGGGATGTAGACTTCTATCAGACCGTTGGCGAATCTGCCGGATTTTTCAGAGGGTCAGACGCTATTCGTGAACACTGGATAGAACTAAAGCCCAGGAGCCCACATCGTTGCTTGCAACTATATGTTTTAATGTAAATAATTGTTTATGGTCCAAACAAGCCAGAGATTAACTACAGGAACTTTTGTCTGCACAATTGGGGTTCGATAAGATGCATCAACCAAGTCAGTATGTGACTACCCAATCCTGCTTGTCACGTCTCATGATTGGGTTGCTGAAGAATTCTAACCTGAATCTTCTCGGATTTTGGGAGTACATTTGTTGGGGCGGTTAGTAAATTCTATTCACAAGGTCTCACGATTGTAAAAGCTGCCAATCATTTGACACAGGACATACTTACTATCTTTATAAAATGGTCTCCATTCTGACAGAAGAAGACCTGGCAAGAGAGACGTGACAATCTACCTGACTCCCATTCTTTGTCAGTTGTCAGTAACTACAGTGCACTCTGTCAAACTCGGGCTCTGTCTTTCTCGGATTGCTGTATAACAGGATTGAGGACTTTCCCGACGTAATCCTTCTTTGTTGTCATAATGAAAAAGCTCTGTATCTCGGACTCTCATTATTTCGGATTTCGGACCAAAGTGTTGGCCCGAAAAGGTAGTTACGTTGCTTTATTATCCGGACTGAGCAGGTCAAAATGTTTGAACGCCCACGTACTGAATTGTCACTTGTAACCAAGATAAATCTAATCTATGATTCTGAAACTATTCCAAAGATTTTACAGAAAGACTTGGCCGACAAATACCAGATAAGTAAACAAACTGTATCTGACATGTTGAAGTAAAAGGAAGACTACAGATCACAGTTTGAAGAAAATGTAATTGGTTGAGATTCTGAATGCACAAGGGAAAGTATGAAGCTCTGCATGACTGGCTTATACGTGCATGGACAAACAACATACCACTGTCGGGTCCAATGTAGAAAGAAACGGCACTTCAGTTTTCAGCGGAACTTGGAAGATTTCAAAGCTTCAGATGGTTCATGGAAGTCTCATTATAACATCAAGCAGTTGGTGGCGAGAGTGCTGACGTCAACAGTGTCATTGTCGACGATTTCAATGCCCGCCTCCCGTCAATCATTGATGGCTACAATTTAGAAGATGTCTTCATACCACTGTCGGGTCCAATGTAGAAAGAAACGGCACTTCAGTTTTCAGCGGAACTTGGAAGATTTCAAAGCTTCAGATGGTTGGCTAAGTTCATGGAAGTCTCGTTACAACATCAAGCTGCTCAAAGTTGGTGGCGAGAGTGCTGACGTCAACAGTGTCATTGTCGACGATTTCAAAGCCCGCCTCCCGTCAATCATTGATGGCTACAATTTAGAAGATGTCTTCAGCTGCGATGAAACAGGCGTGTTTTTTCGAGCATTACCAGACAAAGCACTGTCGGGAAAAATACAGCTGCTAAATGTGGGAAAGTGTCCAAAGAAAGACTGACCGTGCTATTATGTTGCAGTGCAATAGGTGAGAAACTCAAGCCTCTTGTAAAGCCTCTTGTAAGCCATCGGTAAAGCTGAGAGACCACGCTGTTTCAAGAATGTGAATATGGCGAGCCAATCAGAAGGCGTGGATGACCTCACACATATTCAGTGATTGGCTAGATCAAGTCAACAGACAGATGAGGAAAAGAAAGAGGCGTATCCTCCATTAAAATCTGTGTACCTCGGACTGCTGTCTAATTAGGACTTTTTAGTTGGTCCCAAGCTGGTCCAAATTAGACAGAGTGCACTGTAGCTGGTTGTGGGTTGAAGTAAACTTTGTAAATTTGTGGAGAAGTCACAGTAGTATACTTGATGATTGGTTTGACAATAGTGACTTTGTCCTATAGCATGTCCTTTGTCATTTGATCACCAAATGTCGCATGTCTCATTATAGTGGAAACAGACATCTAACTTTGAAAAACGTGCAAGAGAAACATTTCATTTGTTTGTGTTGCCTTACGAAAGCACAACTCAAGCAAGGATAGTCAAACTGTTGTGTTAAAGATGAAGGGACCAATATAAATGCTTATCCTGGTTTTGACACAACAGGAAAAAGTTATTAAAGAATATGAAGGGACCAAGCTTTTTCTTAGGACAGCAGTAAGTTTTGGGACAGTTGGGTAGCCTAGTGGTTAAAGTGTTTGCTTGGCACACCAAAGACCCAGGTTCGATTCCTCCCTATGATTTCATTGTGGAAAGCTAATTTCTGTTATCCCGAGCCATGATATTGCTGGATAATTTCTAAAGGCGGTGTCAAAGCCTATACTCAGCTGTAAGTTGCACTCATGAAAGTTTGACACAGCAGTGTTTGACTGTCCTTTGAGGAATTACCACTCTTGCCTACTGTAACTGTGTCATGATCATGGTGTTGGCTGTGTTTCAGGATGAACCTCCATATAGCAAGGGAGCCTTCAAGATCGTCATCAATTTCCCTGCAGAGTACCCATTCAAGCCACCCAAGTTGACTTTTAAAACCAAAATCTACCATCCCAATGTAGATGAAAAGGGTCAGGTGTGTTTACCTATAATCAGCCCAGAGAACTGGAAGCCAGCTACAAAGACTGAACAAGGTGAGTAGTCATGCTTTAGTGGAAGATTTAAAATCTAAAGAACTTGGTAGTCCAGTGACTCATCCAAAGGATTAGAACTTGGTACTCCAGCGACTCATCTAAAGGTTTAGAATGTGGTGCTCCAGTGACTCATCTAAAGGTTTAGAATGTGGTGCTCCAGCAACTCATCTAAAGGTTTAGAATGTGGTGCTCCAGACTCATCTAAAGGTTTAGAATGTGGTGCTCCAGCAACTCATCTAAAGGTTTAGAATGTGGTACTCCAGCAACTCATCTAAAGGTTTCGAATGTGGTGCTCCAGTGACTCATCTAAAGGTTTAGAATGTGGTGCTCCAGCAACTCATCTAAAGGTTTAGAATGTGGTGACTCATCAACAACTCATCTAAAGGTTTAGAATGTGGTGCTCCAGTAAAGGTTTAGAATGTGGTGCTCCAGTGACTCATCTAAAGGTTTAGAATGTAGTGCTCCAGCAACTCATCTAAAGGTTTAGAATGTGGTACATCAACAACTCATCTAAAGGTTTAGAATGTGGTGCTCCAGCGACTCATCTAAAGGTTTAGAATGTGGTACTCCAGCAACTCATCTAAAGGTTTAGAATGTGGTGCTCCAGTGACTCATCTAAAGGTTTAGAATGTGGTGCTCCAGTGACTCATCTAAAGGTTTAGAATGTGGTGCTCCAGCAACTCATCTAAAGGTTTAGAATGTGGTGCTCCAGCAACTCATCTAAAGGTTTAGAATGTGGTGCTCCAGCAACTCATCTAAAGGTTTAGAATGTGGTGTGCTCATCTAAAGCAACTCATCTAAAGGTTTAGAATGTGGTGCTCCAGCAACTCATCTAAAGGTTTAGAATGTGGTGCTCCAGTGACTCATCTAAAGGTTTAGAATGTGGTGCTCCAGTGACTCATCTAAAGGTTTAGAATGTGGTACTCCAGCAACTCATCTAAAGGTTTAGAATGTGGTGCTCCAGTAACTCATCTAAAGGTTTAGAATGTGGTGCTCCAGTGACTCATCTAAAGGTTTTAGAATCTGTGAATGTGGTACCAGCAACTCATCTAAAGGTTTAGAATGTGGTGCTCCAGTGACTCATCTAAAGGTTTAGAATGTGGTGCTCCAACTCATCTAAAGGTTTAGAATGTGACTCATCTAAAGGTTTAGAATGTGGTGCTCCAGTGACTCATCTAAAGGTTTAGAATGTGGTGCTCCAGCAACTCATCTAAAGGTTTAGAAGCTCCAGCGACTCATCTAAAGGTTTAAAGGAAATGTGGTGCTCCAGCAACTCATCTAAAGGTTTAGAATGTGGTGCTCCAGTGACTCATCTAAAGGTTTAGAATGTGGTGCTCCAGCAGTGACTCATCTAAAGGTTTAGAATGTGGTGCTCCAGCTCCAGACTCATCTAAAGGTTTAGAATGTGGTGCTCCAGTGACTCATCTAAAGGTTTAGAATGTGGTGCTCCAGCAACTCATCTAAAGGTTTAGAATGTGGTGCTCCAGCAACTCATCTAAAGGTTTAGAATGTGGTGCTCCAGCAACTCATCTAAAGGTTTAGAATGTGGTGCTCCAGCAACTCATCTAAAGGTTTAGAATGTGGTGCTCCAGTGACTCATCTAAAGGTTTAGAATGTGGTGCTCCAGTGACTCATCTAAAGGTTTAGAATGTGGTACTCCAGTGACTCATCTAAAGGTTTAGAATGTGGTACTCCAGTGACTCATCTAAAGGTTTAGAATGTGGTGCTCCAGCGACTCATCTAAAGGTTTAGAATGTGGTGCTCCAGCAACTCATCTAAAGGTTTAGAATGTGGTGCTCCAGCAACTCATCTAAAGGTTTAGAATGTGGTGCTCCAGCAACTCATCTAAAGGTTTAGAATGTGGTGCTCCAGCAACTCATCTAAAGGTTTAGAATGTGGTGCTCCAGCAACTCATCTAAAGGTTTAGAATGTGGTGCTCCAGCAACTCATCTAAAGGTTTAGAATGTGGTGCTCCAGCAACTCATCTAAAGGTTTAGAATGTGGTGCTCCAGCAACTCATCTAAAGGTTTAGAATGTGGTGCTCCAGCAACTCATCTAAGGTTTAGAATGTGGTTCCAGCTCCACTAATAAAGGTTTGGTGGTGCTCCAGCAAATCATCTAAAGGTTTAGAATGTGGTGGTCTAGCTACTCATTTCAAGGTTTAGAATGTGGAGGTCCAGTGACGCATTTAAGGGTAGTCCAACATCATTGGGGTTTGAACATGGTGTTCTGGTAGATCACTGAGGTTAGAGCGTGATTGTCCCATGGATCATTTAATGGTTGGGATTATCTTAGGGCTTAGAATTTGATGGTCCAGTAGATTCTTTAAAGGCTTGGAAAGATATAGTTTCTCAGAAAAGTCATCTGTCATGATCTATAGACATCATACAATTCTCTGAAAATGGCTTGGAAAATTCAGCTGAAATTTTGAGGATGTTTGTTTCTATAAGGCATCCTTGTTATTATATAACTGAAATATACAGTACAACCAGAAATTATTGAGAATTTAAAGATTGTAATTTTTTATATGTTTTTTCACTCATTACTCACGTATTAAATGTGAATATTAGCAGAACATAACTCCAGATTCAAAGACAGGTGAACAGTTAGTATTTTGTCAAGTCACCATGGGCAGCAATGCAGGCTTCAATGCGGCGGGGCATACTACTGATCAAAGAAGTTAAAAAGTCGTGGTCCATGCTGTCCCAATATCGACCACCTCTTCTTTCATTTCAGCAATATTTGTCAGATTTTTCTTATTGACACTTTCCTTCATAAGTCCCCACACATTTTCTATTGGATTTAGGTCAGGGCTATAGCTTGGCCAATCTAATAATGTCATGGGTCCGAAACCAGGCCTGTGAATGCTTTGAACGATGTTTTGGGTCGTTGTCCTGCTGGAAAATCAAACAATTTCCATAGAACACGTGAGCAGATGGAAGTAAATGTCCCTCAAGAATATCTGTGTACCGCTCACTGTTCATCTTCCCTTCAAATACACAGAGGGGCGTTGCCCCTAACACAGATATGCCACCCCACACGTTAAATTTTCGGACTGTACTTTGGGCGCTGATACGAAGGTTTTTCAGTTTGTTTGGTCCAGAATTTCAGTGTATTAGGAAACAGACACACAGAACTTTCATCTGAGAAAATCACATTGTCCCAGTTAAAATTTCTATGCTGTAAGCACCAGTTCAACCTTCACTCCTTTTGTTCAGATATCATGATCGGTGATGGAATTCCTCGACTTTTCTGCCAACCCATTGCATGCAGCTCAGTTCTAATTGTCTCCTTACAGACAGCCACAGTTCCTCTATCAATCGTCACTATATGGCTGAAATATTGCCGATGTGACGTTAAATATTAACTCACTCACTCCTCTATCAATCATATCCAGCCTTAAGTTTTCTAAACTCCTTCGTTTGTTTTAAGAAAACAAGAATACCAAGCCGCCTCCTGTCACCGACAGTCAGGTTTCTGAGCTTACCTGCGCTCAATGCCATATCCATTTGCAATATTTTTCAAAACATGATAAACAGTGGACAAATGGGTGCCTGTTCTACTTGAAATCACTTTAGCTGATCTGATGTCCTTGTTATAATACTCTAAAATCAACTTCCTCTTCTCTAAATCATCCATACTGAGGATCACTGAAAATGTCGTCTGCTAGCAAGTAAACAAAGGGGATAACTCTTCACAAACTAATGAAAAAGGTTTAACGGAGTTGTCTGTCTTGAATGAACCCAAGCACTTGATAGCTGGTCAAGGTAGTTTGTACTAGAAATCCAATTAAACATATTCTTAAAATTCTCAATAATTTCTGGTCATACTATATATCTTAAATATTAACTAACTCTATAAGGCATCAAAATTGCAATTTGAAACTGGTAGCCAGGCTGTCATAATATTATTTTTCTAAATCTTCTCTGAAACATATATGAGCTTAAAGAATTAGCAGCAGCCATATTGGAATATATCTAATATGTCCGTTGCATGCTGTAAATATGTTATTCATAAGCTACTCAATCAGTGCTTTTCACTGGACAATTCCTACCAATGATGGAATCCAAATGTTGTTTATTGAGAGTATTGAATTCTCTCATGTTTTTGAAAAACACTTTTTATCACTGTTGCTCAGCCAAACTGTTGAAGCGGGAAGAAATATCCATATATGTTTTTAATGTTCTAACTAAACAGTGTTCATTGTTCCAGTGTTAAAATCCTTGGTGAAGATGGTCCAGGAACCAGAACCAGAGCACCCACTGAGGGCTGATATAGCAGAGGAGTTTACGCTCAACAAGAAAGTCTTTCAAAAGAATGCAGAAGACTTCACCAAGAAATACGCAGAAAAACGGCCATCAGATTAAACGTAGTGCTCCTAAGACATGTTTAATATCATCATTGAGGCTGCTCATGTGCTGATGTTATGCTCTTGACTGTGTTAATTCGGCCTTAGGAGACAATCATTGCAAAATGCCTTGTTAATATTCCTTTGTTTGTTAATTGTGCTCTTGTTAAGAAAATAAGAATTTCTTTGTGACATTGTCACTTGAGTTATCAGATTGAGCTTAATGCCAAGGTGTGGAGTTTTAAGATGATACTTATGGCTTTAATTTCGAAGAACATTTGTGTATGCTTGAGTGCATGGAGGATATAAGATTAGAAATGTGAGACAGGCCTCGATTTATTTTGAAATAAGGATGATATACTACTCAATTGCATTAAGGACCATTCATTTCTTTCATATTTGTTTTGAGATTATCTGTCATTACATGGCAAATGAACTACAGCAATATGCAATAAATGCTTTGGTCATTCCCTTTTCCACTGTTGCATATATAAAGGAACACTTTTCAGAGTTGTGTATTGTATATTAAAAACTTGCTTCTTATATATCACCTGTATAAGTTTTAACGCTTTGATTACATCCATGCTTGATATCTTGCTTTTGTCTGTTTCCTGTTCCCATGAAAACAATTGCAGATTTATTCCCTTTTGGTAAATGGATAATGGTAATATTTCCAGTTCATAATAGTCCCTCGTCTCACTGTTAATGTCTTGATTTTAGGAATGGCTTTGTGTTCTGTGGGGTGAAATATGTACATGGCTTTCCTTTTTAGGTGACAAATGTTTGTTCATACCAGCTGAATTACATCAGTGCAACATATCTCAATAGTCGATCAATAATCTGTGAGCAATATGTCCAGTTTAGAAAGAGATCCTGCTGATGGGGTGACCAATGATAGCTTCACGCGTCCCTTTTGTGAAAAGACATCATTCACATGCGCCGTTCATTTACTGCTTGGTTTTGCTTATTGCTCGTCTGGGGCTCTTCAGTTTACCTTAATGTTACCACAACTTGCATTCTGTCCAAACTCCTTGACAGACATGACCATGCAGAGAGTAGCAGCATTACTCTTTCAACACTGTCACAAAATCACAGACATTTATTCCAAGGTTTATTGGGATGGTGGTGTAACCTATTGGTGTTTGCTCATCACATCAAGGTCCAGGTTCAATCCAGCACATGGCTACTCCCCCGGGAGTTGATATTGATAACACGATGTGCCGTTCAGATTGACATCCAATGATCGAGGGGAAAAAATACCAGCGCCTTGAGCAAGCACTAGTTGCCTGGATATGTGCGCTATATAAATATCGTATAATAATAATAATAATAATACAATATTTGAAGCCAATTCCTGGTGTCCACTACTATGATGTTGCTGGAATATTGTCGAAAGTGGTATAAAACCATTGCCCAGCGCTAATGGTATATTCCGAGCTGAAAATTATGCTCAAAAGACATTAAAGAGCACCTTGTTCTTTCATTTTGTTATGGATATTCTCGAATGGAATGACAGTTTAACTATAGTAGCCTGAAAGAACAAGATATCTTTTGACTTCTTTTGATTTGTATATATGGCCTACCCATTCTTTGCAAACACCATCCCTCTTTACGAACCAGCTCCCAGAAACATTACATCAGTGCAGTACACCCTAAACTCACACACACACGATAACACACTCACACACACACACACACACACACACACACATGCATGTATGTACACACACTAGCACTACCAAGTTTGAAATTGACCACAGTAGCCATTAGTCCCAGTCTCCTCAGTGCATTGTACATCCGTGAGCAGTGACAGTGGTACCCAGCAGCCAGGGGATTACACTGCACTGTACAGATACCAATCAAAAGGATTGTGTATTTAAAGGTCATGGCAAATAAAGATGAAACCAGTGACATTATCATGCATTTGTTGTAGGAAGGCTTTGTGTCTTAAGTATCAGAACAGAAATCCAAAATTGTTTTTGATGGTTTCCAAACACCAAAGTCCACACAATCGCTGATCAGACACTTTGTCTTGATTGTTAGTGTTTTGGATCTTTCTACATGTAAACATGACTGGCAGTGTATACTATTTAAAAGGCTAAGGACCATCATGTTCTTTTATGTTATTAGATTATTCAGAAATGGCATGACAGATTTGTATAGTAATATGAAAGAATTGAATGGTCCGTAATATAAGTTGTACAATATTTTTTTGCAATTTGCCTTTAACTGAATTTCCACATATTTTCATTTTCTGTATTCAAAAATTCAACATAAACAAGACCAAATGGCACCGTTGATCCGTGTTAATGGATATCTGATTATGGTGGTGTGTGACAAGATAAGCATTGGATACAAACTACAGTATCAATAGATAACTGTTTAATCTGCAGCAGCCTTGCCTACACTGTTGGACATCCACAACATGGTTTGAACCTGAGCATTACTGTCCATGAGAAATATTTCACTTATAAAACTATTTCTCTTCTAAGCTTTTGTTGATGAATGACCAGAGCTTGAACCTGAGCATTACTGTACGTGAGAAATATTTCACTTATAAAACTATTTCTCTTCTAAGCTTTTGTTGATGAATGACCAGAGCTTGAACCTGAGCATTACTGTCCGTGAGAAATATTTCACTTATAAAACTATTTCTCTTCTAAGCTTTTGTTGATGAATGACCAGAGCTTGAACCTGAGCATTACTGTCCATGAGAAATATTTCACTTATAAAACTCTTTCTCTTCTAAGCTTTTGTTGATGAATGACCAGTTTTTTGCAATGGTGGAATGAATCTCCAAGAGCATAGCATTTGCGCATTAGACCAGCTACAGTCTCATCCTGCAAAATTGGAACGATACAATATCAAGACGGGATGTCCTCTGTATAATATTTTGTACATTGTTTTCATATTTCTTGAAGCTTTGTATTGTCATCTTCTTTTGAAAATTTCCAAGTAGGATTTCTTAAACGTTTGTTGGGGAGAAGGGCGGGATTAATGATCTCACTGCAGTTTCAGGGATTAAATGGTAATGGGATGGATATTCATGGTCATCTTTATCTTGGCATTTTACTGCAAAATATTTTTGGGAATTTTTCTTGGAAATTTTCACCTAATTGAAAATGTAACAGTCGTCATAGACAAAATTTGCCGATCAGTTAATGCATACACAGGTGATCAGTCACTATTCACTTTATTTTAGTCCTGATGTTGAATAAAGGATGCAAGGAAATAGTTACATTTTCTTCACACCTACTTTTCACTTAATGAATCAGTAATGTATTAGTTGGTACATGGCATGACTCCTATGGTAATAGTTTAAATGAGAACTATCATCTGACAATTATTGACATTTTCTCTCAATTATTAATGTCACAGGTTAAATCTTCAGCTCTGAGATGAAAAAGATAGAGGTATTTAAAGTTGTGTTTTCCCTTCATACTGTGTAATAAATGTACCATGGCGTTTGTAAAACAAGTGCTAAGCTTGTCTATTTCAAAATGTTGATCCTTTGAATTCATTTAGGATTTCTGCTTTGGAGAGAGAGATCAAATATTTAAGTGATAAATATTGAGATTGTCAAGAATGGATGCACTTATCAAATCTTATGTCATCGTTTTGTTCATTTCTGCAATAAATATTTATCAAGTAAAGTTGTAGATGGTAATTTTATGTTTCCTGATGCTAATAAAATATGACGTGGTATGTCAGACCTGGTGACAGAGTAGACCACATGATGATATGGCGTCTGATGATACAAACAGACCACATGATGATATGACGTCTGATCATACAAACAGATCACCATGATGATATGACGTCTGATCATACAAACAGATCACCATGATGATATGGCGTCTGATGATACAAACAGATCACCATGATGATATGGCGTCTGATGATACAAACAGATCACCATGATGATATGACGTCTGATGATACAAACAGATCACCATGATGATATGGCGTCTGATGATACAAACAGATCACAGTGATGATATGGCATCTGATCATACAAACAGATCACCATGATGATATGGCATCTGATCATACAAACAGATCGGATGATACAAACGCCAGATCACCAGATGATGATATGGCGTCTGATGATACAAACAGATCACCGTGATGATATGGCGTCTGATCATACAAACAGATCACCGTGATGATATGGCATCTGATGATACAAACAGATCACCGTGATGATGATGATGGCGCCTGATGATACAAACAGATCACCATGATGATATGGCGTCTGATGATACAAACAGATCACCGTGATGATATGGCGTCTGATCATACAAACAGATCACCGTGATGATATGACGTCTGATCATACAAACAGATCACCGTGATGATATGGCATCTGATGATACAAACAGATCACCGTGATGATATGGCATCTGATGATACAAACAGATCACCGTGATGATATGGCATGACGATCTGATCATACAAACAGATCACCGTGATGATGATATGGCATCTGATCATACAAACAGATCACCGTGATGATATGGCATCTGATCATACAAACAGATCACCGTGATGATATGGCATCTGATGATACAAACAGATCACCGTGATGATATGACGTCTGATCATACAAACAGATCACCGTGATGATATGGCATCTGATGATACAAACAGATCACCGTGATGATATGACGTCTGATCATACAAACAGATCACAGTGATGATATGACGTCTGATCATACAAACAGATCACCGTGATGATATGGCATCTGATGATACAAACAGATCACCGTGATGATATGGCGTCTGATCATACAAACAGATCACCGTGATGATATGGCATCTGATGATACAAACAGATCACCGTGATGATATGGCATCTGATGATACAAACAGATCACCATGATGATATGACGTCTGATCATACAAAAACAGATCACCGTGATGATATGCGGATGATCTGATGATACAAACAGATCACCGTGATGATATGGCGTCTGATGATACAAACAGATCACCATGATGATATGACGTCTGATGATACAAACAGATCACCGTGATGATATGGCGTCTGATCATACAAACAGATCACCATGATGATATGACGTCTGATGATACAAACAGATCACCGTGATGATATGGCGTCTGATGATACAAACAGATCACCATGATGATATGGCGTCTGATGATACAAACAGATCACCATGATGATATGACGTCTGATGATACAAACAGATCACCGTGATGATATGGCGTCTGATCATACAAACAGATCACCGTGATGATATGACGTCTGATCATACAAACAGATCACCGTGATGATATGGCGTCTGATGATACAAACAGATCACCGTGATGATATGACGTCTGATCATACAAACAGATCACCGTGATGATATGGCATCTGATGATACAAACAGATCACCGTGATGATATGACGTCTGATCATACAAACAGATCACAGTGATGATATGACGTCTGATCATACAAACAGATCACCGTGATGATATGGCATCTGATCATACAAACAGATCACCGTGATGATATGACGTCTGATCATACAAACAGATCACCGTGATGATATGACGTCTGATGATACAAACAGATCACCGTGATGATATGGCATCTGATGATACAAACAGATCACCTGATGATGATATGGCGTCTGATCATACAAACAGATCACATGATGATATGGCGTCTGATGATACAAACAGATCACCGTGATATCTGAAACAAACAGATCACCGTGATGATATGGCGTCTGATCATACAAACAGATCACCGTGATGATATGACGATCATCTGATGATACAAACAGATCACCGTGATGATATGACGTCTGATCATACAAACAGATCACCGTGATGATATGACGTCTGATCATACAAACAGATCACCGTGATGATATGACGTCTGATCATACAAACAGATCACCGTGATGATATGACGTCTGATCATACAAACAGATCACCATGATGATATGACGTCTGATGATACAAACAGATCACGTGATGATATGGCATCTGATCATACAAACAGATCACCGTGATGATATGGCGTCTGATGATACAAACAGATCACCATGATGATATGGCATCTGATGATACAAACAGATCACCATGATGATATGACGTCTGATCATACAAACAGATCACCGTGATGATATGGCGTCTGATGATACAAACAGATCGTGATGATGATGATCTGATGATACAAACAGATCACCGTGATGATATGGCGTCTGATGATACAAACAGATCACCGTGATGATGATATGACGTCTGATCATACAAACAGATCACCGTGATGATATGACGTCTGATGATACAAACAGATCACCGTGATGATGCGTCTGATATCTGATGATACCTAACTGATGATACAAACAGATCATGATGACGTCTGATGATACAAACAGATCACCATGATGATATGACGTCTGATGATACAAACAGATCACCGTGATGATATGGCGTCTGATCATACAAACAGATCACCGTGATGATATGGCGTCTGATGATACAAACAGATCACCGTGATGATATGGCATCTGATGATACAAACAGATCACATGATGATATGACGTCTGATCATACAAACAGATCACCGTGATGATATGACGTCTGATGATACAAACAGATCACCATGATGATATGACGTCTGATGATACAAACAGATCACCGTGATGATATGGCGTCTGATCATACAAACAGATCACCGTGATGATATGACGTCTGATCATACAAACAGATCACCGTGATGATATGGCGTCTGATGATACAAACAGATCACCGTGATGATATGGCGTCTGATCATACAAACAGATCACCGTGATGATATGACGTCTGATGATACAAACAGATCACCGTGATGATATGACGTCTGATCATACAAACAGATCACCGTGATGATATGACGTCTGATCATACAAACA